TGGGGCCGCTTCTAAGAGAATTGTGTGGGGCTTAATTCTTAAGAACTCTCACAGAACCAAGTATATGTTCATGGCCAAAACGAACATAATAATGAGAATTGAATTGTGTTAGGAAGAATCCCGTGTGGAGTATATCGTCGTTTACATAAATGGCAGAACGGTTTAAAGACAGCACGTCTACTGGTCATCTAGTAAAGTAAATATATTTTCACAATGGAAGGTTCAAAGGGATTACCTATCCTGTGCAGGCTTCAACCATTGAACTTTATCAACTAGTCTTATGTCTCACGGTCACTAAGTCTCATGCCTCACAGTCTCATGTCTCTCCTAATTTTCATTTATGTGGGAGATTGTTGGAAAAAATGGGCTAGTAGATGATTTTGGCATAAAATTTGTGTAGGACCCGTTGGTCAAATTTGAAAGATCAAAGTTGATCTTTGTTCTCCTCCATGAGAGTATCGAAACCATATATTTATTTGCAAAATTGATCAATGGATGAATGAGAATTTGGAGCTCAAAGATGACCATTGGAAGATGATTTATGTGGGAAATAAATTTAGTTCCATATAGAAAAATAAAGAAACTATGAACCACTTTATATAAGATTACACTTTGGAAGGGTGTAATCATGTGTAGCAAATAGGCTCTCTTCACGTATGTGCTCAGGGGGTGCAAATCACGGACCGAAATTACTTTCGGACTTTGAACTTGTGTGCGGGCACGACCTGTGTACACGAATGTCGAACCGAACGGAGCAAAAATTGGCCCGTTTAGAGTGTCTACGTTTTGCAATTTTTTGCTTTCTTCAACTGACCTTTGAGTTTCCAAAAATTGCCAAACTCTCAAAAATTGAAGCAACTCTAGTGTTTATTGCTATGGAGTTAATAGACAGATTTAATCTTGTATTAAGTATAATTTCCCAGCAATTCTAACAACGAGAATACTGCATTCACACGAAAATATTCTGTCAAATTAGTGTTGTCTGCATATATAATATGTTGCATTTTCAGCGTCGTCTTGGTGGTGATATTATTTAATACAAACTCAGTTCGCCAGAGAAGTTTCTGCAGTATTCATATTCTACTGTCACCGTTGTATCCTGGGAAACAAACGTTTGGATTGAATTTCAAGCACTTACGGTGAAGGAGCGAATCTATTTTAAGGAAATTGTGTTTGCACAGACCTCGAGTTGAAAATTTATTTATGTTCTGCAATTTACATATTTGCAATTTATTCTTACATGTTATTTATTTATTTAGTGATTTACACGTTTGCAATTTACTAGATTTATATATTTTGCAGTTTACTTGTTTTTACATTTTAGAAATAAAAATAGAAAAAGAAAAAAATATATATATATATCTGAATTTTCTCTCTAACAGTTGGTAAATGCAATTCGATATATGTATGTTACATATACGATATTTCTAGGTATAATTGAAAATACGGTATGTGAAAAGGGCAAAGAAAATATTGCATATACGGTATACTTAAAATTGACATCTAAACTATATATACGGTAAACTGCAAATACGGTAGGCAGCATATACGGTAAGCTACAAATATGATGAGTTGCCTGTAAATACGGTGACCTACATATACGGTAAGTTTTTTGCAAATACGTAAACTGTATATACAATATATTGCATATACGGTATGCTTAAAATTGTTATTTAAACTACATATACGGTATGCGATAATCCGATTTCATACACCACTATATTCCAAGAAAATCACTATCTCATAAATTGGATAAAGAAAATACAACATCAAACTCCCATTTATAAGACACGAACTTAATCTTAAAAGCAATAACAAAAGTTCTCTTTTATCTAGAAAAAACACATTTATTTCTATTTTTATGCAGAATATTACGACTTTGTTTGAGCCCTTTTTTGTAATAAATTTTGTAATAGTGATTTTTTGAAGAAGGCATTGTTAAAAAAATGCAAAATTTTTTGGGTTTACAAGTAATTATTTTATAGAAAAATGTGTAGTTGAAAATGAATTTGAAGAAAAATTAATTTTTAAATAATGAAACTCAAATGTAGACTACAATTCTTATGGCTCTCCACCAATACAAAGTAATTTTTAACACACTCAAATTAATAAATTAGTACAGATGACAATGCAAGTTGTCTAGTACTTGTTTAAGAGAATGAAAGTGCTACATGTACATAATTGTTTACATAATGGTATTCATAATTACACGTGGCACTGGATCCAACTTTTAATTCAAATCTCACACTTGCACATCAACAATCGGATGCTTGTCACATCACATTATGGACACCATTATGTGCAATAATTATGTACAAGTAGAATTTTTTTTTAAGAGAAATTGTAATGTAAAATAATGAAGCAAAGTAACGCATCCCATAAAATACATGGATAATAATTATGTAAGTAATAATCATGAATGTATGGTTGAAGCTAATATTTCACTTTGACTTCGTATTAAAATATTTTTTTTCTAGACATGAAAAATAG